TTCTTGTGTATTAACAGCTGATATCCAAACATCATGGGCTACAGTAAGTTACATTCTCTAACATTTGTTTTGTGACAGAGACCTCTTTTCCTTCTGTCTGTCTGTCTGTCTGTCTGTCTGTCTGTCTTGTAAAAACAATTATGAGTTTTATACATTTATTGCTTCTTGCTGGTTGGTCAATGTTTAAAGCACTCCTTATGTCACTGGCTTTATATAACAAACAAGTGCTGTATTCCCAGCATGCCTTTCAGGAGAAAAGAGAGGCATTCTTTTGACAAATTTTCCACAAAGGGAAGGTGATAGTTTAGAGCAATACCATTTTATCTTGCACAGCTTTCAAACATCAAGCTGTGGATTGGTCTAACCTGCTTTATCTATAATGAGATCTTCTTGGTCTATCAAGGTTTCTGATTGATGGGAGGTTGTTTTCTAAATCCTTGGAGGAATACAAAATATGTGTTTAAACCCTACTGGGACAATTTGTGTTCTTTTTCTTTGATTATACTTTCAATTTTTCAGTGCATATATTATTATGCTTCATAAAGGAGATACAGAACTTTATCCTAATGAATTGAAATTAATGCAAATCTGATTGGATTGCAATGTAGTGGATGCAGGTATTTGTGAGTGAGCACAGTAAGCTGAGCTGTACTTCTCAGTGTATTTCGAAGGACACGGCAACATGTGCTTTTGAGCAATGCATATAGGAGTCTGAATGCATTGGGGTATCTGCTTTTGTGGGATGTAAATGACCTTGGGGCCCATTTCCAGAAGGGTGACTGGGTCATTTGTTAAGGTAAAGTCAGGTGGCATCTTAACACATTTATTATGTCTAAGTACTTGTGGGATCCAATAACTCTAGGTGACTTGAATTGGGAAAAGTGGAAAATGTTATCCATCGTCTACACACCAAAGATTTACCTGGAGACCAAACTGAAGAGCTATACAATTCCCAGGTTTTACTGAAATGTTACAAAAGGTCAAAATGATGAAAGTGACCAACTATATTATGGGAGGACAAAAAGGTCAGTTGAAAGGCATGCAGTGAATTAGTATTCATGCCTTCTTAGGAAGGAAATTTCACAATATTTGCATACAATTGCAGTCTAACAATTGTTCTTTTCTCATTACTAAAACAGTAAATAGACTATGCTTCTATCCACACTTTCAGTGTTGTAATTGTTTTTATATGATGTAACTTATTTGATGTTTAAATTAAAAATGAGTAGTTGCATTATAAAAATCAATTGGTTCAGGTGCAAGAACCTTTACACCTAGACTGGGCAACCCTTTTTGCTGTTGAGGACTACCTTATCTTAAAGGCAATCTGTTGGAGGCCACATGTTGGGTGTGGACATGACTGAAGCCAGGAGTGGGCAGAGGGCAGAGTCAAAGTCAATACTGGGAGGGGGGACTCCTTTTCTTTCTGCCACTGCCTTCTCTCTCTTTTCCCTCCCTATCCAACAGGGATATATAGCCTTAAACAGAGCTCTCTATCCCTGATTTCACAGAATAGTAGTGTTGGAAGGAGCCAAGAAGGCCATCAGGTCCAACCTCCTGCTGTTGCAGGACACCAAGTTACACCATCCCACTCAGATGACTGTTCAGTTTTGCCTTCAATGTCTCTAGAGTGGAAGAACCCATGACCTCTCTAGGCAACTGGTTCCATTGTCATATTGTTCTTTCCTGATATCTAGCTTGAGTCTGGGTTGTCGCAACTTGCCCTGATTATTCTGTGTCCTACACTCGCTGTCATACAGCAAGAAGAAATCTTGACCTTCCTCTTTGTGACAGGCTTTGAGGTACTTATATAGGGATATCATATTCCCCCTTAGTCTTCTCTTCTCAAGGCTGAACATGACCAGTTCTCTCAGTCTCTCCTCATAGGGCAGTGCTTCCAAACCCTGGATCATTCTTGTTGCCCTCCGCTGGATCCCTTCTAATTTTTCAGCATCTCTTTCAAAACTTGGTGCCCAGAATTGGACACAGTATTCTAGCTGAGATCTGACTAGTGAAGTGTATAGGAGAACTATTACATATAAATGCCACATGAAATTAGGCTGAAGGGTGTATGTTGCCCATCTCTGCTTTAAGCATATTCCTGGGTTGTAATGGTGCCCCAGTGCTTCCAACGACTTGCAACCTGCAGGCAAAAAGTTGGCTGGTTAGTTCAAAACAATGTGAAATTCTTTTCTCCTACTTCTTGAGGTTTGTTACCCACCTCAAGGCTGCCCTCAATCCCGCTGCAGTACCAAAAGCTGTAACTGGCACAATTCCCTGGACAGACATCATCATCATTATCATCATCCCCTCTGGGGCATTTGTCACTTAGCTTCAGGTCATCATGGGCCATCACCAGTGTGAAGTTTCAATCCCAGCCACACTAGGTACTTTTTCTTCCCTCACAGAAGCTGGACTGCAGTGACTTTCCTGAGCAACTGGGCATTCTGGGCTGCATCACTCACCCAGCCATTCATTGGCAGAGGCTAGACCACTGTCATGTAATGCTATACAGAATGTGCAATCCTGTAGTGATTCAGGGCATTACAATTGTGCTGGTGCAACAGCGCTGTGTAAGGTCTTCTGTGAGTCAGAAGCAAGCAGATGACAGTGTAATGTGGAAGGGTGAGGGAGTGCAGCACAAGCCTTAACTCCAGCTGCATTATTAACAACCTTGCCAACACTTTGACAGCAAACGTGAGTTTCGAGGCCTGCACTTCAAACAGACCACAGGGCGTGATAAGCTTTCATCAATGCAATCACTTTCGTCTGAAGGCAGTCCTAAGCGAGCAGCTGCAGCTCGGTGGTACAACATGTGCTTTGAATGCCAAAGGTCTCAGGTTCAACTCCCTAGTATCTGAGTTGGGGCTGCGAAGGACCCATTGGAAATCCTGCAGAGCCGCTGCCAGTCAGTGTCAGCCTTACTGAGTTAGATGGAACCATGGCTGAAACTCAGTATGAGGCAGTTTCCTATGTTCCTACAGGCCTGTCAGTGCTTGGCCACTGTATTCTCATTCTGGCTAAGAAATATCCCAGAAAGCTGTATATGGATATTTGCAAAGAACTGGATGCTAGGGAGAAGGTGCTTGTGTCTTCTGTGTTGTGCAAGATTCATACAATATGAACTGTCCACAAAGCTTCAGCTATTGGACTGTACAGCAATAAATAATACAAGTGTACAACTGCTTGCTTTTGTGGATGAAGGCTAGGATGATGCAGTGGCTCCAATTAGACTGGGCTGATCCAGATTCAAATCTCTGTTCAGCAGCAAAGCTTAGGCTGGTCTCTGAATGAAGCCCTGATAGCAGGAGAACCAGAAAGTTTGAGTATGTGTGGGAAATATTGTGAAAGGCATAGGAATGGGGAGGAGAAAGCTTTGCTGAATTTTGAGGAAGGGGAGTTCTTGTTCTTCATTGACTAGGGAGTGGGGTAATTTTTATTTTATAGAATTATGCAGGAATGCCACCTGTTCTGGAATACCTTTTCCCTAATTTTGTGTAGGGATGGGCCTTCTTCAGTGGAAAAGGAAAGGCTATTCCTAAGTGTTCAGAGGGACTTGGAATATATTTTTGTGTATTAGTAGAAATGTTTCACCACCACGCTGGAATGTCGTTTGTGTTCCCTTGGCCTGTGCCATCTCTATTCCAGCCTCTCAGGATTATCCCCTCCTAACTCCTAGAAAGGAGCTGTACGGAAAAACAGAAAATAATTTAAGTCAAGGGTGTTTAAACTGCTAGGGCGCAAGATATGAATTCGAGCGTGGTGTTCAGGAATTTTCTCATCTGGAAAACTGATCCTCCCGTCATTCAAACTGGAGGCTTCCTAAATGTAACAATTCAAAAAGGTGTTTTGACATCTCACAACCACATGCTTGCATGAAGTAGTCCTCTGAGCGCGGCGACTAGCTCCGTGCGGCACAGTAACGTCCGTAGAACTTACTTCCGAGTAATAAGCAGAGCGGATCGAGGTAGATTCCCGAGACGGTGATTTGCCAGAGCAGCAAAGAGGCGGTGTGCGTAACCGCAATCTTTCCCAACAAAGAGCAAACTTTGGAAAGACTTCCCTCCCACTCACGCTCTGCCCGCCTTTGGCCACACTTCCTTTTCTCCCCTTCGTCCCTTCCCCCCTTTCCTTTTCGCCCAGGCTCTTGGCTGCAAAGGCAGGCGAGGTGCTCTTTTCCCCTCCCAGTCGGTGTGTCGCACAACCGAGGGGTCAGATACCAGAGTCGGCGAAGAGGGAGGGATCTGGGGTTGATGATGTCAGCCGGGAAAGAGCGAGCGCGCCCGAGAAGGGGAGGGAGAGAGCGGGCGAGGGTTCCGGGTCAGACGCAGGAATGAAAGAAAGGGGAAAGGTGCCCGACACTGATCTGCGAGCGCTCCGTGCTTCGCCCAAGTCCGCGACCAGCGAGATCTCGGTGCAACTCATTGGCCAGCGGAGACCCAATAAGAGACAATAAAAGGAAGACGGCTGCTCCCCTCCCCTGCCCGCCGCGGCTTCTTTGCGCATCGTAGTTGCTCTTCTTTCTGGAACTGCACAGGCTGGAGGGGAGGAAAGTGTTTCCTTGCGTCCCGGTCGAATGTTTATAGGAGCCGCCGCCGCCGCCTCTCCTCCTCCTCCTCCTCCTCCTCCAGGACTAGCCGAGGGAAGAACGGCAGGAGACAGAGAGAAGGGCGCCGTGGAAGGCGGTGGCTGGCAAACAAGCCAGCCGTGGGGACGCGCTTCAGAGCCCGGCGCGGGTTGCTAAGGGGCGGGCTGCGTGCGCGCCCCCCGTGGCTTGCTGAGGGCAAAAGCGGCGCGGGTTTGGCAGGCAGGAGCTTTCCTGGAACTCGCCCAGAAGAGGAGGAAAGCGGGCGGGCAGAAGAGAAGACGAGGAGGCGGGTTGCAGCTGAAAGGCTGAGGCGCCGCACGCCGCTCCTGCCCCGAGTGGCCGCCAGAGCCCTGCGCGGCGGCGGCGGCGGCGGGTGGCGGGAGGGCGGGCAAGCGTTGCTGCCGCCGCCGCTATGTTTCATTGCATCCCGCTGTGGCGGTGCAACCGTCATGTGGAGATTATCGATAAGCGCCACTGCTCGCTGGCCGCCGTGCCTGAGGAAATTTACCGCTACAGCCGCAGTTTGGAAGAGCTCCTGCTGGACGCCAACCAGCTCCGCGAGCTGCCCAAGGTGAGCCAGAGCGCCGGAGAAGAGGGTAGGAGGAGAAGAAACGGCACGTGTGAATGAGTGAGGGGGCAGTTGGACTGAGGTGCGCTGGGGGACAAGGGGAACTTCCTCGAGGTCGCAGGTAGGTCAGGAGCTGACCGCCACTCGCATCTCTTCCTCTTCCTGAGCCTAGAGGTTAGAAGCCCATAAAGGCTGCTTGCCCTAATGGACGCAACCATTAGGAGCTAGAAAAGGGGACGCTTGTGGAATCTGCTCGGCGTTACAAAGTTGATCTAGGCATGCGGGCGGTCCACCGACGGACTCCTGGTCTTCCTTCTGCGTCCACCTGGCACTCGCACAACTTACCCTCCTGCGTTGCCTCGGGTTTCCACTCAGCAGAACGTCCCCCTGAGTTTATTGGTGCATGAGTTGTTAGACCCGCATCCTTAAAATTTAAGGACTTTTTATTGCACAGATTTCTGCCAGTCCACGATTCCATTATTTGGGATCGCATGAGGCACGGGTGGGGTGGGGGAAAAGAGGAGAAAGAGCTGAGCGAGGAGTTAAGCAAAGAGAAGTGACCCAAACATAGCTGCCCCTGTCTCTGCCTTGGCGCCAGTCTTCTTGACAACAGCCCTGAGTTTCAAGGCTTGCAAGACCTGCTTTTCCGTGTATGTGACAGCCTGGTTGTTTGCCTAGTAAAAACTATTGTGCTTCCCAGCCGATGCCAGCTACCAAGGAACTTGTGCAACTTCATCCCGGATTGGAGAGGCAGGACTGTGCTCTTGTTGAGTATCTGGTTGTTCAGCAAGAGTTCAGGACTGTCTTCATGAGTTTAGGACACAATTCTAAAGAAGTCAACTCTCAGCACTTCCTAGTTGGGACTTTTTTTGAAATTGAAAACATGCATAAGATTGTGCCCTTAGTGACTATTCTGGAGCCTTGCTCTAGTTGGGTAACCACCTGAGTCCTCAGTAATCCTGAATATAGTTGCAGGGAATTCCTGCCCATGGATTATTCTAACCTCCAGTGTTCACAGATATGAACCTTGGTGTCCAGCCACTGTGGGTTTGAGGATTTCTGTTTAGTGCTACCTGTGAACATATACCTGTGTTATACCTGTGAACATCTTCATTCATGCAACCTTCCCCATGAAAATACATGGTTTGAATTTGCATGGAGAGAGAATGGGTGTGTGAACTGTTCCTTTCACACAGGGACTATTATAAAGACTGTTTGTATGCATTTTCTAGTCCCCTGTGGTGTTTCATTTTCATTAATTGGGGTGGGTTAATCCATGTAGTCTAGGAGAATTTGATTATTTTATATGCATGGCACAGATTAAACAGGCCACTGGACCATTGCCTTAACTGAACTGGTCCAAATAACCTTGTACTTCTTCTGAAAGGTATTTGTAACTGAGTCTCTAGCACAAGGCCTTTGTGTATCTGAACATTCTAGTCAACAGATGCAACAATCATTTCAATATGTGCTGCTTTGCTAATTATACCAGCATTTCTCCCCCCCCCAAAATCTTTAGATGTGCCCCAACATGCAGCCTCAAAACATCCTCTGTGACTTAAAAACTGGCTGCCCCAACCACCCATAGAGGCAGTGTGGTATAGTGGTTAGAGTGTTGGGCTGGGAACCCAGAAGACTTGGGTCCCTGCTCAGCAGGGTTGCTGTTGTGAGGATAATATGGAGCTATGTAATCCACTTTGGTGTTCTTGCAAGAGTAGGGTATACATGTAATGCATCAATAATAATACTTTTTCTTACTACAGTTATTTCTCCTTTCTTTATACAAATGTGTGGAGTAAATAGACCCCATTTATTGGTGTTTTGATAGGGAGGTTTCTGGTACAGATTGAGCAGAGTGATGGAGCAAAACAAGCAGCTGCTTAGGAAACCTAGCACTTTATTATCCAGTTTATGTGAGGGAAGAGAAAGCTGTCAGTATGACTGGGTTAGAGTCCTGTGCAGGTGGTACATGTACACAGGTGGTTCCTTAGATATAGGGAAACAAAGTGACCAACTACCCAGGCTTAATATTGAAGGTAAATCACAGAGTAGTCATGGGACTGTGAAGAATCCTAAGGTGGGGAATTATGCTTGAGGAAGCAGGTCATTGAATGACCTATCAGAAGGGTTCCTGTGGAAGCCTCTTTATGCTATGGAGGGGAGGATATGGGGGAGCTGGAATACTGAAAACGTGGCAGTGGCCTGGAAATTGGAAGCCTAAGAAAACACTGGCTGGGTTTAAACATCATGACAGCCAACCCTATGTGGTTCCCACAGTTCACATGTTTTACCTTGATGTGTCTGACTGGCAATCCCTTGCACCCTCTCCTTCCATCTCCTTCCTACAGGCACTATCCGAGGAGACACTGCTGAGAGGAATGAGGCTCTTTGCAAGACTAGTTCAGCTTGACTGTAGCTGTCAGGCAGTCTTTATTGTGCAAACAGGGCTCTTGCCCCGAAGCACAGCAGAGGGAAGAGGGAGCTGATCAGGCATCCTTGCCTCCTGCTCCAAAGGGACTGCTGGAGAAGGAGCGGGGGCATCTGATCCACATGCAGGCAGAAGAGGGGACAAGTCACCTGGGTGGATTCCCCCTCTGTCGAATCTCTGGGCAGCGGTGCCTGGGTGACGGCAGTGCCACTGAGCTCATTGTCCCCATCCCTCTTTCTCACTCCTGCTTGAAAAAGAGGCTTCCCTAGGCTGGCACCCTCCTTAGAAGTAGCAGCAACAAGGGGGAGGTGGCTTCACTCCTTGCTTGCTCCTGCTTTCCAGAGAAGTACCCCTAACTTGGCAGTTGTGGGCACCAGGATGGGGGGGCCTTTCTGCCAAGTGGGCATGAGAATGGGGAGCAGTGGAGGAATCAGCTGAGTGGCACTGCCCCAACTGGACACCGCTACCCAGCTAACTTTTGCCCCTTCAACTTGCAGTTGTGAAGGGCTTCCTTCAGGTGCATATGGAGGCAGAAATAGCTGAGCCATGCTGGTTCTTTCTCCACTTCTGCTCAGCTTTTCTCCCACTTCTTTAGAAGACCTATAGGGCAGGAGGCAGGCCAAACAGGGGCACCTTTTGACAGCTGCACAAAATGGCAGACGTCAGTGGACCTCTATTGCAGGCCCCTTGGCAAGAGCAGCAATGGGCTGCTTTTACCAAGCAGCTCTCTGATTCCAGCCTTGATACTACAGTGAGTTGTGTTTTCTGTGTTTGGTTGACACAACAAACCATTTTGATTCCAAGAGAATAGAGTGGTGTTTCTATTTGTGGGCTCTAAAGACCAAGCATACTATGCTGAAATAGCTTGAAGGGGTTTGGACAACACAATAGACCAACAGTGGTAAAAAAAGCAAAAACCCCACCATGGTTTTTCACTGCCCACTGCATGATAGAGAACAAGCATTGAAAGAAAAGAGACTGAAGTTGGGAAAAATTGCACAGGTTGGGCCCAGAATCAAAAGAGGCTGTACATGGTTACATATGGCGAGGCAAGGGGTTATTGGGGTGTGAGGTCTATCAGCTGTCAAGAGTTAGAGCTGGCAGAATTCCTCACTGCAGTTTTATGAAATGGCAGCCCTGCAGCAATGCAGGTTTCTCAAGTGGGAGAAGGTGAAATTCCTTGCATTGATTTGAACTAATCGGCTAGTTCTTTGGTTGTAGGCTGTCAGGGGAATTGTATCAGAATGGCCTCTGTCTTTGCTGCATGCCTTGGCTACTGGGCCAACAGGGCTTGGGCAAGTGTACATCACTTCCTTCCCTCTTGCTACTTATTTGCTGCTCTTTTCTTTCTGTTCTGATTTTTAATTTAGGGTAAAGGGAGTACAAGAGGTACCATTGGATACCCATTTGGATACCAGAGTGGAATGTAAATGTAATAAGTAAAGAATATCAAAAGTATTTTGGTTTTGTTAATAATACCTGCTTACAAAGTAGTCTCTTGCCTTTGGGGTGAGGAAGTCTTGGAATACTGAAAGTGAAAGTTGCCATGTTGACTAAAAGAAAAATTCCAAAATCCTTATCATTATAATATCTTTGTTAGGGTAACTCAAATGTCAGAAAATATTGTGCAGCCTTTTGAGTTGTTCAGAAGCCTTCATCAGGCAAGATGGTAAACAAAGCAAAATTGAGGATGGAGAAGAGGAAAAAGATGGCTTGAGTTCAAGCCGTGCCCTCCGCATTTGTTTGCAGCCTCAAGATGGAAAGTGAAAGGAGTCTGCAGACATTCAAATTAGACTCTGCTAGATGTGAAGATGGTTTTAGATTGTACCTGGGACCCTCCCAAAAGTTGCTGAAGAGAAGAAACAAACAATGGCTGACTCAATCCACCCCGTTTTTAAAGACAATTCCAGTTGTTGCTCAAAAAAGTCTTCATCCTCAAGTGAAACATATATAGGTATATATCTCAAGGCAAGACTGTAGTTTAGCTTTGTATAATCTTCCTTACAGCTTTGTATAATTCATTTTAGGATGAATTATTTTTCTTTTTGAGTTACTGTCTCTAAGCGAAGGAGTTATTTAAGAATTATTTTGATGCCGGAGGAAATAATCAGTATTGGGTTTATGTGTGTGTCATCCTAGGATTCATTCTGTGCAACCTGACCCTCTCCAATTTATGGAGACTGAAATTAACTTAGGTAAAGTCCAGGCAGTTGCAGCAGCTTCTTAGTTTGGTACTGTTGTGTTAAACTGGAAGGGGATGTGAATGTACAAATGCATTACTTAAATCCAGAATTGCCAAGGTAAACATTTTCCCATCACTGATATATCTAGCCTTCCCATTTGCAGTTTTGCCTACTGGGTATCAGTGCAGGTTTTGGTCCATTCTCATTCTGACTTGCAGTATCATGCGGACCCTTTGAGAAAACCCTTATATAGCTATAGTTATACATAAAAGCATTTACAGATGATCAGGAGTGCCAGAATGTTGATGGGTATTTGAACATTGCTCCCACTAGGATGCACATATGCTTACAAGAGACTGCAGCCAGAAGTGCATTCTGAAGCACATTTAAAG